TTTCCTGTCCCTTGGCCACGTCCGTGCTTCCCTTCGGGAACACACGTGTACCTGCCACCAATAACATCAACGAGTACGCGGATCGTGGCTGGAGGAAAAAAAATATCCCTCTCTCGCTTGTCGTTACCCTCCCACGTGATTTACACAGACGAATTTATAGTCTTATTCGGCAGGGAGCGTCGTTACAGTCTGCCTCAAAGTTTCAATCTTGTCTCGTTTCGTTTCGTTTCGTTTCGTTTCGTATCGTTCTAATACTCGTTGCCCGCCAACCCGTTCCAAGATAATTAATAATCTAGCGACGTTTATTTCGTGAAAGACAGGCCACGGACAAGGGTAGATTGTAATTGGAGATCTTTTATAGATTTCAATCTTTTCTAACAAAAATGAATCCCTGTTATTATGGGATTTTCAGCGTGTATGCGCTATGCAGATGGAGGGCAGAGTGTAGGTGAATGTGCGGGCGTCGCGAGCGTCGCGTACGCTCGTGTATCGACTCGGTTGCTCTGGTATCGATTGTTTGTCCAGTCAGGTCGGGGATATCCCGTTTCCACGAGACACATAATACTTGCATACCGACGAGGTTACACTCATTTCTTCGGAGTACCTTGATTTGCCCACGCGTTTGCTTCGAGGAACGTTTCCTCTTCCATTCGTCTTCCCTTTCCCTTCAACGCACGTTGACAAAATTCACCACTGTACAATTTAATTCCACCATTCTGAAAACTGTGATTTATGAAACTATCACGGTATCCGTTTACCACGATGATTGCTCTATCTTTTCGGCGCATATTTTCAAGTTTCCTGAACGGGACCGGAGAATTAAATTAATAATCGTGTTCTCCTTTGCCACGCTGGAAGGCTGTTGCGCCTAACGATCGCAAAAAATGATCTAGGAACGCTTCTAACGGTGCCCGTGACTGCGGGGCAAGAATCCAGAATTTCGGTCACTTTTTCCATCGGTAGAGACGATCTAATTGCTTTCAAAGATCCCCCTCGAATCTCTTACTCTCTCTTTCTTTCCTTTTTACTTGATCTACTCTCTTTCTCACACCAGGAAGTACTTGTATCACGAGAAAATAATTATCCCTTCTTTTTTACCAGAGGACCAAGGTCCAGACAAATATGGTGTCGAATCTTGTTTTCGTGTTGCTACCTTTTTTTAAATATGTATCTTTATATATTCACCGCGCAGTAGAGGAGATTATAATTACGAAACGATTCTATGGACGAGGAATTGGAGCGACTGAAAAAGTAATTAGCAAAGTAGTTTAGGAGAGGAAACCGAAAAGGAAAGGTAATTGGTAGGAAAACGATCGGTCGCTTACAACGCGAGTTTCAACTCGCAAGAGCGCCGTGGCATAAAGATTCGTGGAGCGGGAACGAGGCGGATGTGGCGCTGAAAGACAGCGGCTTGTTACTTAATTCCATGCGCTCGCTTAAATAGAACGACTTAGACTTAAGGTAGTCTGCAAAAATCGGCGACACGCCGTTGTGGAGAGCAAGCGACCGACTCGTGCGTACATGCCAGCGTAAGCCGCGAGTCGGTACACGCGTGGTGCGGCTATGTATACGTATACGTATGATACACACGCTGACAACGGCGTGTTTGATCGTGCAATGTCGGGGGTGCCTACTGGTTTTGATATACGAGCACACCAATACACGATCGAACGGTGTTACACGCGTGAGTCATATTGAAAACCAGTCCTAGCGATTGCTCTGTGCCGCACACGCGCGCACTCGAAACTGCCCGAAGACTTCTGAATATCTTCCATCCTGGACGAGGAAGGAACTCGCGGCTCTCTTCTGGCTTCTGGCAATCGATTCTTTTTCAAAAAAAAAAAAAAAAAATAAAAAAAAGAAACCTCGATATGCCGGGCATTATTGCGTTTTATGTGGCAACAAATTCGATATCTTGAACGGTACAACAAGTACGATAAGCGAGGAATCTTGGAATTGTCTCCAGGAATATTGCATTTTCACGAGAGAGCCGATGAAATTGCCCACTCGTGCATCGTTACTACCGCGACGAGCAGAGGGGAGAAACAATCTGGTAGTAAGAACGGTACCGAGGAATATTGTTTCTATGATCGTGATTATCGATCGATAGGGTCATGACTCGTGCAGAGTTTCTCAGTCGTGTTTAAAGAAGACCGGATTGACGATAGAGAGTAATAGGGAATAACGCGCAGGGATAATGGATTATTGGAATAGGCGGTGTACGGCTTCCATGGATCGCACGAATGCAAACTATTTTTGTTAACGCGATGACCCTGCAAACACGATACCTCGTAGGTTGCATCGTGTCGGAGAATTGGATGCCATTGCGGCGGGAGGGAACTTTGCCAATTGGCATGGAGTGCATCAAACGAAACAATAATGACAATGTACCGAGACAGAAATATGTTTATTTATCGTCCCGAGTGTACACAAATGAGCTTCGAAAAAGAATCTCTCAATTACTCCAGGGAACCTTGCACTCGTTTTAGTACACCTTTGTTCTATTCTCTGCTTGTTGTTACCTATGTAGTATACTTTCTCTGTTCACTGATTCATTGCTAAACTCCGCTTGCTTTATTTGTCACCGTTATACCTTTATTTTCACTCTACAACTTCGTCTCCTCTACCTAGTGTAGATGATAGATTACACAAATATGGATTATTTTTTAATATCCCCTCTGTATGCGTTATCTCCATCTGGACGAGAATTCATCTAGCTTCGTGTATCTGGCATACATCCTTTATCGGCTCCATCTATTCCACTTTCTCAATTTGTTCTGTCCACCGTATCAGCTGGTTGCGCATCCAGCCCGCTAAATCTCCATCACCTCGAAGCGTATATATTTCAGCGACAGTCGGGGCTCGCTCGTATCCGCTGCTTGCTATCCAACAACTTACCAACAACGCATTCCTGAACGCATAGTCAGAAGAATGGTACATAATAATTGAGCGTAGCGACCGAAAAGACGAGGCTAGAGATTTCTACGAAGGGGAAAATAGCGGAGGCAGGGAGATAACAGGTCGATTTGTTGAAAATGTTGGCAAAAGGGAGACGAGTAGGAAAGGAGCAGGAAAGGAACTGGCGAGAAGTGGTCAAACAGCGTATCCACCCACGACGTGGCATACTGTAACGAGGCTACAGTCCATTAAGTGCGTGCGGCTATTATGGCTAATGCATTACGGGGCAATAAAAAACGGGAAGTATAGCGGCGGACCGCGTGCGCACGCCCGGCAACCGGACCACATTCCTTGTCGGACGAGTATGTACGCGCTGCTCGATGCATTGCCTTCAAGTACAACGCTCGTATCTACGACAACCACGAAGACACGAGCAACGAATTCGATTTCATACGCATTCGGCCAGCCGATAGAATAGTTGTAGAGTTTACTTTAAAATCATTGGGAAATCAACATTTTTCTCGTGAATCCTTTTGTGCAATGGTCGAAAGGAGAGACAAGCGTGGAAGAAAATTTTTGTAGGTAATCGAGAAAAGGGAATTAGTAATGAATCGAAGGCGAGAGAAACGTTATACGTATGATTCAGTGACAGCTGAAGGATCCTCGAGTCTGAAAGGAAAATAGAGGGTAGAGGCCAGGGGAAAGGGTGAGAAGAATTTAGACGCGGAAACGACAGGGTGGCGGGCCCGTTAAAAGAGGAAAAAAAGGAAGAAAAAGATGCTCCAACCCTTTCCTCTTTCCTGGCTGTCGTACGGAACCACGGAAACCACCTTGGAAATTCTATTCTAAAAATACCGTAGCTCTGCGCGGTTTCTCCGTTTTTTTCAACCGCTCTTTCTCTTCGGCCCGCTTTTTTGTCTTTCTACCCCTCGGGAGATGAGCACCGGCCATATGGTCCGCGAGGGAGAGATAAAAAATTCATATTTCCACCGTTGAAGGGCCGAGCCGCGCGATATTTTTAAACTTTCAACCGCTCAGAGAACGTTCAACTTTTCCTTTGCTCGCCGGTTTCGTGACTTTCTGATAAACTCTACGCGATCCTCATTTTCATCGATTTCTTGAGACGTCTCCAGGTGTGTCCGCTAATGTCTCCCCCCTTCTTTCTATCCTGTAACGTGGAAAGATATTTCCATCGGATCCTGGCTACCTGGAATCGAAAGTATACCGATTTTTTCTTTCCTTCTTTCGATCCACCCCTCCGGGAACGACGGCTGAGCCCGGTAGCCCGTTATTTAAAGGTTCCTTTTTTGGCTAATGGTTTTCTCACACGGACACCGGAACGCTACGAACCCCTTCTTTCCTGATATTCGAAACCCTCTCGGAAAAGCTAACGAGACGCTTTCTGCTGAAAAAAAAAAACCAACAACCGTTTCGGAATTCTTTTTTTAAATCACTCTACGAGGAGTAATTTTAATTCTTTACAGTTGTTCTTGTACTATTTTTTAAGATTTCGTTGCATTTCTTTGAAACACAAGTCATACGTAAAACGGTAAACGAATTAGTTGTTAGGGAAATGTTTGCGAGGCAGGAATCTCATTTGAAGGAAATATGATATTTTATCCTGGCTAAACAGGTCTTTAAGGAAACGATGCGGGACCGGTATCCTGACCCATTTCGAGAGGGTTACGCAGCAGCAACCCTTTCGTCGGTCGAACCTAACGGACCGCGTCTCCATTTTCCCACATTCTACTTTCCACGAATATATCGACTACCTGATTTTCGACGGGGTGAAAAGCGAACGGAATTAACCGGGATCCCCTCGCAGCGCAGGTGACGCAACCGGCTAGATAAAATGAAATTAATTTCCTGCTTCGTTGATCGGATCTCTTGAAATCTGCGCTACCGTTACCGTTACCGATCATCAACAGAAACGTTCCACGATCATTTAATTTCATCTATCGTACGATCAAGATTCTATATAAATTACATTATCTATCAAAAATGTAATATCTAATCAGTTTCACGAAGCACCAAAATCTATCGATGTCTAACAAGATTTTCTTTACTTTTTGTTCCACGTTCATCCTGTTTTTGGACAATAGCAGCATCGAAACATCTTGATAGGATGTCAAGTCAATTGGAGGATAGAAATGATCGCGGGAAACGAGGCTGTCGAATCACCGATGAATCGAAAAGGAGGAGGAACGTCCGCATCGTGGGGTGAGTACTTGAATCGCTCCTATTTTCTTCGTTCATCGTTCTTTTCAACTTTAATCATGCTTAATCCGCGTCATAAATAACCCGCACGGTGTAAATAGCTCGGAAATGTCAATCTAAAAATTGGAAGGGTTCGTGAATAGCTGGTGTGTTTCGACGAAAGAAAAGCCAATAGCTTGTTGGCTGGTCAATTCTGATGGGAACGATGGATCGGTTTAATCGCTCGTTCTCGCCTTTGTTTCATTCAGAACTAGTTAATTCTGCACATTGTTACTCCATTATGTTTACGATTGAACCTTTGAAAGAATCAGCCTCGCCCATACGGGGTTCGTGGCGAGAAAAGGGGGAGGTCTTGGTTGGACGGAGGGTGGCGGAACTCTCGACATTATTGGACAAGAGCTACCCCTGTACGTAGCTTCCCTTTGCAGAGCGAGTCTGCGCCCTGCCGCTCTTTTGTTTCCCTATTGTAACTATGGAAAACCGGGAAAGGGCTTCTTGCAACGAACAACAAAATAACAATTCTCGTTTATTTCATTTCGCATCCACCGGATAGAAGTTAATATCCAAGCGATTAAGGGATGATCTTTCTAACTCTTCCTTTTTGCGATTGCTCTCCGTCTCAATTAGCGAGTATAATAAACGAGACTAGGGTAATATCGCGACCCTAAGGGAACGCGAATCATCGCGCCGATAAGCGGCGACGATGACACAACCGTCTCGTTTCTCGGGGGGTGAAATGTGGGAGGTACCAGCAGGGGAGGGGGTTGCTCCCATTGGCTGGCACTGCACTTTGGCGATTCTGCGCAGGGGTGGTGATTCTATTACACGTCTTCGACGATAGTACTTTTTTTACGTAAACAAGTAAAACTCGCAATTACGAATCTCTTAAAAGAAGAAAAGGACCTCTCGAAGAACGAAATTCCAATCGTCAAAGTACACGAATGCGTAACGATGCTCCGAAAGTGGTCAGCCTGTATGGAGCCACGAAGAGGAAGAAAGTAACTCCCCGTGTCAACGAGGATCAAGCATCAAGTTGATCGAGTGGAATGGTGGACCCACCCACAGCCCCCTCCAGTCGCAGGAGCGCGAGGGTGACTCTGCGATAAGAAGAAGAAGCACGTGGACGAGGCATCGAAAGCAGCCCCGGGGCGCAGCATGCCGCTCGCCAGCCGGTGGACGAGTGCCGGCCACGGTAGACGAAGACCAGAAGAACTGTTGGATCGGTGTGCGCGGCGGTGGCACGTTATCCGTCCTTCTTCCTGCCACGGTTCCGGCCGCGGTTACTCTTTCTATATCCACGGTTTCAGTCAGAGCGTAGCAGAAGAGTCGAGGGAACCGCGTTCGGGTCGGACAGAGACAGCGACGAACGCGAAGAATTGCGTGGGGGAGAGTTGGTTGGTTGTTCGGGGGGAACCGCGGCGGTACGACGCGACGCGAACCGACGCTGCGCGGAACGCTAGGGACGAGGTGGAAGGACGGTGGAGGCGGGGAGAACGCGACGCGTCGTTCCGTCCGACGGGGTGGGGCATCGTTCCAGAACCTTTGGTGGGGACCACGAACCGTGGATCGTTCCGTTCCGAGTACGATGAAGAAGGGGCAAAAGTAGTGGCACCGCTCCCCTCCTCTCTGTCTCTCTCTCACCCTTCGGAGGGGTTCAGTCATCTCGCGCCAGCCGAGCCACGCGCACTCGCTAGTTTCACGTTCTGGGCTCGGTGAAAGACTCTCTCTCAGCTCGGACGCGTTTACCATTCTCGCGTCCTCCGCGCTACCATCTTCTACCCCTTTGTCAACCCGGGGATGAATCGCGCCGCGTTCTCGTTATCCTTCTCCATCGACTTTCACCGTGTCGCGTTCGAGCCAGGATCCTAACGCCTGGTCGATGGACAGCTAAGACCCACGGACGGAACCAGACCGCCCCCTACGGACGGAAGCCACGGAACACCCCCACTTCTTGTCGATCCAAACCGCCCCCACCCAAGTGGCACAGTGGAGAGTTCCGCGCTCGAGTGGAAGGCACACCGGGTACCGAGTTTCACGGGTGGAGAACCCTCGGATACGTCGCGATCATCCCCCCAGCACATCACCGACCAACGGTGGAGCTCGCGCGGATAAGCAAATTTCACGGAAAAACGGAAACTAAAACGTTCGCGTTTAGTTTTTGCGACGTTATCGTATCTGTTTGTTGGTGCACGCGCGTCTACAACCCCCACCCTTATCCGGACGAATCTGCCACCATCGGTAGAAAAACAAACCCTCTCCCCACCCACCCACGCACCCACCCTCTCCTCGAGGAACTGGAGAACCAGCCAGCGAAGAGAGGACAGTGGCATCGCGATGATGCCTCGCGAATTCTCGACTTGTCGCGGCTAGCGGAAGAAAATGATGATATACTACGCGAGGGGTGGTGAATCGGTCACGGTGTCGCGTTCGTCGCGTTGAATAAGTGATAAACACCCGGTTCGGGTTGGATGACAGTGCGACGCTCGGGAAACGAGGCCAGTGATTTTTCGTGGACGGTGTGAATATTTTGGCCGTGTGATATTTATTATTTTTCGTGACAAGTGTGCTCTCTCTCTCGAAGAAGAAGAATAAGAATAAGTTACGAAATCTTCGCCGACCTTGCTGTGAACCTCTCTAATTAAACTGTTAGATGTGATTTGAAAAACGATGCCAAAGCGATCCACGAACCTAGACAACCGTTACTGTCGCGATAGTGAACGATGAGACACGGTGACACGAGTCCTTCGAGCTGGAAAAGCTAATCGTCGCGACGAATGAACCACGAGGATCAACCATTTCATCGCGATTTCAGCAGGTTCGGTGCTGCTTCGTCGAGGACTATGGTCGCCAAAGAAGAAACACGACGAGGCAGGAACGAGGATACTCGTTGAGAAAAGTCGAGGTAAATACCACCGTAGATTCGGCATATTTTTTCATTCGTCCATTGACGCGAACGATCTGACAGAGATAGAAACGAAGGAGGTGGGTTTATTTATAATTTATACGAGCGTTTTAACATTTCCGCGCGCGTTGCAGCAACAAAGTATTTGAATGATGCGAGGGAAGCGATGGGTTATTGCAGGGGAGGCCGTAAAGTAGTTGGCAGTCGCTTTAGTCTCGCTTTCTGAAAGGTGTACAAGCTTCGAAGCCCGATTTAACATTGACCAAACGTATTGTTCCCTTGAGTAGAGGGGAAAAAATGAAACTTTTTACCGTGAAGAATTCTCGCGTTGATTGGCGAATCGCGTTCTGGAAACACGTACGGCTGTCGAATGGATGAGGATGCAGTAATTGCCGGTCAGGGAGGAATATCGCGTTCGGTTAGAGCGGAAAATTAGCGTTGCTCACGGTCCGACTGACTGGAAATAACCAAGAAACGCAGTCTGATTGTACGCGACGATGCTATCTGAGAGATTTAAGAAACCAGCCATGGAAAGAAACGCGATATCGTACGGGGGGTAGAGGGTGAATTTTTATGGGGAACAAGCTTGACGATTCCGTTCGGAGTGTGTAATCAGAATCGCTAGCCTCGATAAGCTTCGTGGAGTTCGTTTCAGGCTCATTCCTTTTTCGTGTTCAATAAAGTTTAGCCGTGTGAATTAATTCGAGCCGCACTCTTTCTTGTTCTTCGACCATTCTCAGACATAGGGTCTGTAATTCGATTGCTCGGAGGGAGAGAAAACGAGTAACTTTCAAACAGGTGGTGTTTTTCCTTTGCACAGGATGTAATTGAGAAATTTTACCCTCCGTTTATCCTTCTTCTATCGCTCGACAAGTTCTTTAGATCGCACGATACATGTGAACACGGGTTGTTGAAAATATTCAACCCCGAAGAATTCGATTCGCGGAAAGAGAAAAATTCGTAACGTCACAGCGGGACGGTGGAATGAAGAGATGATGGGGAAAGCAGAGGAGCACACTTGTTGATACACGCGGAGGCGAATCTGGTGGAAAGGAGTAAAGGACGAAAAGAGAAAAAGAGGGCGCGGAGGCTGTGTAGAAAGGGTTAGAGGGGAGGGAAGAAAACGTCGAAACAATTGGAGGCGCGGAGGCGGCCGCATTTCATGTTGGCTGGCATCGGCTCCCTTTAAAGAGTCTCTTGCTTTTTGTTAGCTCTTCGAAAATTATGATTGTTTGTCCGCGAGATTTACTGCTGCCGCGGCCCTCTCAGTGCGGTGCAACGTAGTCATGGGTGCCCTGCAGGGGCACCTAAGACTCCTCTTGCCAACCTATCGAGGCAAGGGGCGGAGGATGGGTGCGAGGGTAGGCTGGTTTGCAGAGATTAGAGAAATTCCTGCTACTACGCCAGCTTCCTCTTTTCTTTCTTTTTTTCACATGGTTGTTTATTTATCGCGCAACTCGTTCCTCGTAATCTGGCTGCGCACAGATTAGCGATGTTTGAATTAGCTTATCCAACCCGGCGATTAAACATTTCCATCGAGCAATCTGCGCTCCGTTACGAATATTCAGCTACTCGAGGTTCTACAGTTGCCTTCTTTGTACTATATAGTCATTTTAAAAATTTCTATGGTATAAGCCATAAGCAGATGATATTGGTCGATGTTTAGAATAATTAAATTTATAAAATCATTAGAATCCTCTATGAAATAGTACTTTCAGAGAATGTATTAGCTTGTTCATTGAAGATTTTAAGGCTTGTAAAAGTTCTATGATTAAACGGTAATTACAGTTTATTAAACGATATTAAAATTCGCGAACAAGGACTCGAGGGTCGAGTGAGAACCGCTGCAAGCGTGTTTATTAATGTCGCGATGCAGATATACACCGATTTTACGTCAGGTCTTTTATTTTTACGCTCGTAAAAATGAGCTAATGAATCTGCACGCGTTCGTGGAATATGCGTGGAAACGTTTATTAAAATTGGTAATGACGATAAAGTCGAGGCCATTTGGTCGTCTCGAAGAATTTCCCTTCACCCTTGTGTGCGTTCTATCTCTTCTCCTCTTCTACTCTTCTTCATCGGGTTCAGGTAGTAGCTGTTTGTCGCGGATTTTCTTTCTTTTCCCGATGAATTGTGTTCAAGGTTCGAGAGGATCTCGTTCGCTCGTAAAGCATCGACCCGCGAACCTCGATACTCTCTGTATTCCGTTGATTTATTCGTTATCTTATTGTGCCCCTGAACTAAACCCTACCTTGGCCGTCCCAAAAAGTGGCTTTCTTCTCTCTTTCTCCATCTCTCGGTTTGTTCCGGCCAGTTGTGGCGATCGCTCTATAAATTTCACCAGTCTTTCGAACCCTATATTTTCTCGTTATCCTCGCGTTTTGCACGACACGTTTTATTAAAGTACGATAATTTTACGAGCCACGGCCTCCATCCCCCCGTTCCTTTTTTCTTTCTTTTTCGTCCGGGTTCGCTGGTAACCGCCACCCAGACGAGGATTCTCTTTTCCTCTGTTTCATGCTAGCTTCGAGACACGATTTTTTTCATCATCCAGGAAAAGAGCGCAAGAAATTGCCCGGGGATCGAGGTTCGCGTGGAAATGGATTCTCCTTGGTGTAACGCGTCCCGAATTACTTTCATTCTCAACGCCTTTTCTCCCTTTATTAATGGAAAAAAGAAAGCGAAAAATATGTGCACACGTCGTGTAGGATCGTTTAAAAATCGAATTGTTGTTCTTTACGATTGAGAGGGAAAGTTCACTGTTCCAGATTTCAGCTTTTAATTTACTCTCCCTTATATTATTATCATTGTCATAATAGTAACGTCATTCAGAATTTGTCCTCTCTTCTCTGGCATTAACCCTGGCCCAAAGAACATTGACGCGGGAAGTAAACGTGTGAAAGTAGAAAGAAGCATAGTAACAGCCACGCGTGGCGTTCGATCGAAATAGTTTTTAAACAATTATTCAATTATCTTTGAATCGACGATACGTCGAGGTTGGCCAGAACAGGATCAAGAAGAAGAAGAAGAAGAAGAAGAAGAAGAAGAAGAGTCGACGAGGCGAGTCGTTGGTACACGTCCGACTGTACCTTCCCCGAGAAGGCAGCTCTCCGCAGTAAAAGGCCTAAAGTTTTTAATACTTTCAGTTGTTTTTATGGCGGCTGGCATTTGCTCTTTTTTATTGTTCGTCTCCTGTTTTCTTCTCCCTTGCTCGTACACGACCCTTCAACCACCATCGAGAAAAGAAAGGGAAGTAAAAGGAATGAGAAAGTGAGGAGGATAGAAAGAGAAAGGAGTAGACGGAACCGTGTGTACACACACGGTGGAGGAGAAAGAAAGATAGGAGCCGAAGGAGAGAAAGACCTCAGTCAGCCTTCTCTGATGTACGACTCGGCGGTCCGCGTGAAAAAAATCCCATAAACCAGTAAAAAAGCACAGGGTCTTTGGGCCAGAAGGGACGAAAGGAACGAAACAGAGTCGGGACAAGGGAAGAAGATGAAGAAGAAGAAGAAGAAGAAGAAGAAGAAGAAGAAGAAGAAGAGATGGAGGGCCGAGTATCGCTAAAGGAATTCCTCTTATGACGAACCACGCGTGATTTTCTCTCATTCCCCTTACTTCGAACCTTCTTCCAGTTCGAATGTGCACTTCTTCACCTCCCTTTACAACCATTCTCCTATTTCTTCTTCTTCTTCTTCTTCTTCTTCTTCTACCACGTCTCCTACGTCTTCCTTCGTCTTCGTGTTCGTTGTCGTTGTGTATTTCTTCCCCTCAGGCTACTTGGACGAGGCCGTGAAACCTTCGCGATCTCGATGCACGAATTAAAAAGCGAAGACAGAAGAATTTCGAATGACTAATGACGGCCACATGTGCCGGCGTCGCGTCTATTCTTCTTCGTGTTCACTCGCCAGGATCCTCTCGAACACCGCGATTCTCCGTGTTGTTTCATCCTGATCGATTTCTTGTTCCTTCGAGTTTTCTTGCCCGGTCTATTAGGCGACCTACATCACTAACCGAGAATAGACTTATTCGAGCGACGAGGAAAACGTACGATCTTGCATGCAAATTTCTCTCTCGTCGTTTTCAGTCATGAATATTTCTGCCTCTGTTTCGTAACGATGCAAAAATGGGATACTAGTTGCATTTTGTCTGTCACTTTTCGTGCTGAAGAGTGCAAAAAATTTCATTTACTTCATTAATTTGCAAAATTCCTACCTGTTCGATTGGTTAACGAACGTTCTCTGTGCTTTTTGTATCGCGAATCAATAGTTATTATTTTTTTTTTTTTTTATTGGTTTCTGTTGATTCATGTTTCATTTGTTCCACGTTGCTTTCAATAATTGTTACAACGCGGATATGCAAATCCCAGTCGGACGAAACCCGCACGTGGAACGGAGGAAAAAGAGAAGATAGAGCAAAAAGAGAGAAAGAGAGAGAAAAAAAAGCGTGGCATAGGCAAAGAATACGGATTGTAGTTTTTTGCCGGACTGTAATGGTGTATCGCCGCTCTCTATGAATAGTTATGGCTCGTTTCGCATAAATTAGGCCGTAAGAATTAATAGCTAATTCAGCAGGTTTTCAATTATCGTCGAAGCGAGAATTCAGTAATACGAACCTTATAAATATGGAGGAGCAACGTTGTTGCTCCCACGGACGCCAATTTTTCAAAAAATAACGTTCGTCTAATTTTCTCGAGGATAATGGGGGAACCGATCATCGAATAATCATTCTTCAGATATTTATTCTATTCTATGCATACGCGTGTACGTAATTAAGAAATGATTCTAGAAAATTTTGGAGTATTTTTATTCGTTCCAGCTGATATTATTAGGAGCAAGGATTCCATCTATCGCGTTGATCTTCGAATGTTGGAGGAAAAAGGGAGAAAGAAGAGTTAGAGATCGGAGCAGCATCCGTAATTTCAGATAGACTCGGTGCCTGGGTGTTATTAAACCCGATAGGCCAGCGAATGTTTCTCCCTCGCGGGTGTTCCTCGACTTCAA